GGGTGGGGTGGGGGGTAGGAAAACTCAGACGAGAGTGTAGTTAATGTTTGCTGATCACCCACAGGCCGGGCCCCACGGGGCCAGTCATCTCATTTCCATTTCATCTTTCCAGCAGCCTGCGGCACTAAACCAAAACGCCAAACCCACTGTCACCCTGCAGATTCGGGCTCACCGTGGCCCTGTAGAGGGTTGCTAAGACTGGAAATCTTTGTGGGAGTGGACAGCCTCACCTTTCTCTTGGGGAGGGACTGCTGGGTTTGAACCGCCAGCCATGGTTAGCAGCCCAACAGCAAACCCACCCGAGCCTTGTTATTTTAGTGCAGCTTTTCAGATGAGAACAGGGAGGCACAAAGTCACATGATTCCCTCCGGTCACACAGCCAGTGAGACAGAAAACTAGGATTGGCAAGCGGGCAAGCAGACACCCGGCTGTGTAGACAGGAAGCATTTGGATGGGGGCTCAGGTACTCAGTGGTACATGTTCTAGAATATACTTCCACGGGGGTGGGAATACACCAGAGTAGGCCAGCAGTGAAAGCGACCAGGACACTGTCCGCAGGGATGATTCTACGAGAGGCCGAAGGCTGGCTTTATGTTCCTCTGCAGGGATGGAGAAACAGGTATCTGCCCTGTGCTGGCCAGGGGAGGGCCTATTTCCACAATTCTTGGAGGTTGCCCATAGCTGAGGCAAACCCTTTGGCAAGGGACAAGGGTTTTGTTCAAAGTCCTGGATCAATTTTATTCCACTGTGCCAGCTGCTGAAAAATGGTCATTCAAATTAGCCTTTTAAAACCTCACACTCCCTGCCTTTAAGTTAAGAGCTGTGGACCGGTGCCCGAAACCCTGGTCTCCCTCACTCCTCGCACCACCTCTATCTGTTGCTCTCCTTGGCAGTAGATTGCCATTCCTGAGATGGGAGGGCTGAGTCTCCGCGGAATTCCATGCTGTTCTTTGGCTTCTGAAGGAAAGCTCTACTTGGGATTCCTTGAAGGTTGTTCCCGTTTGCCAGAGCTTTGCTTCTTTTTGGTGCCCAGAGCTGCTTCTGGTGAAGGGGTAGGAGGCTGTACCCAGGGATCTCAAACTCAGCCACTTCCAGGGACCGGGCAGGTGGGACTCGGACCCCTCCTGGAGCCTCTGCTCCCATAGGAGAGGGTAGCTGATGCCACTCAGCTGCAGACCGTTGTCAACAGGGGACCAGTGGGTTTGGAGTGGTACCATCTGACCGTGTTTCTAGCGAAACCAGAAATTCCAATGTTGACAGTGTGAACTCGTCCACTTTGGTAATCACAGACATTAACTCAAGAAACTGTAAAGTCCAGTGGAGGCCAGAGAAGCCAGTGTTGGATTCAGCCCGGGGACCCCCTAGTTTGAGACTTCTGACCTCTCTTAGCCATGGCTTGGTAAGGCAGGGCTGCTTCTCCGCATTGCCTCTGTGGAAACTGCGGTTCTGAAAGTGAGCCCTCATGCCTGAATCACAAAGAACGGGGAATGGAAGTGGGGAGACTCTGCCTGGAGGATAAAATTCCTTCACCCACCTTGACCTGGCTCCCCTGGCCTTCCCCACCCCCCTCCCATCTGACCAAGCCTTTGCTCTTGGTCACCTCTCCCCAGAGTTGTGGGTGGAGCATTTCCTGCTCCTTATCTTTGTTCCCCCTCTGTCCTGGCCTTTGAGACTGGGTTCTTCTATCTGGCCATCGCCCATGCTGTAAATCCCCTCACTCCAAAACGTGGCCACTAGCCCTACTACTCCCCAGCTAAAGGATCTTGGGTAAGTTACTTAAGTTATCTGGGACTCGGTTTCCCCTTTCTGTCAAACATGCGGGGGAAACAGGACCAACCTCATAGGACCGTGGTGAGGATTACTTAAGTTAAATGGGTTTCAAGTGCTTTGAACTGTGCAAGGCACACAGTTAAGTGCTAGAGAAGGATTTGTTAAATAAAATCAATTCAACAAACATTTGGTGACTGCTTTGTCTGTACCAGGCCCTGGGTCAGATGCAAGGAGGCATAGGGGAAGACTAAGTCCAGGTCTCAATGCTCTTGCAGTTGAATGACAGATGGCAGGACCAGCCTTGTCCTGGTTGGCGGGCACTGATGTCCTTGACTGTCATTACGATGTCCTCTGGCAACTTTTTACCCACTGAGGAAGGCTCAGAATACGCTTGGCTCCAAGGCTCAAACAGACTCGAGAGGCTGTTCACAGCTGGTAATGCTGGTTCTGCTTTTTAAACCAATACAGAAAACTGTCAGTGGGATTGTTGCCACCGTGCAGCATCACAAGACCCTTACCCCGTCACCTCAGCCCAACATGGGACACCTGTTCGCTCTGCAGGAGAGGGGCGAGAGGAAGGCCTGAGAGCCCAGAATTGGCGCGTCCTCAGTGGCCCTTTCAAAGCAGGGCCACAGGCCCCTGCCCTGGGAAATGGAGGCTGGGGAGTCCTGCCAGTGGCCAACCATATCATCTCCCTACTTAGACCTGCATCACTTTTTTTGTTTGGTATGTGATCAAATGTAAAATAAACTTTACCAGTTTCAAAAAGAAAAGAAAAGAAAACTGTCTTTCCAGTCTGCTCCTAGCATGTCTACTTGTCCCAGCCCAGGCCCTGCCTCAGTTTTCATCCCTTATACTGCCTGCCCCTGTCCCCACCCCACCCCAGTTCCCTTCTAAGTGCTCTTCTTCCTGCTATACCCACCCTTCCCGCCATTCATTCTCCAAACACTTACCTAGTTCTAGAGCGCCCGCAGGCCACAGTATTCCAGGCCTTGCTAGGATTCTTTGTTCTAAGTGCAATGGAAAGCCGGCACAAAAATTTTAATTGCGTTCTTTCCCTTTTTACTAGAGCAAATGGTATGGAAGACAACATTTTCCATTTCAGCCACTTATCAAAGGGGCTCTGCCGGTCTGTCTTCTGGCTGCTGGTGTAGACTGGAACCTCAGAGTGAAGGCAAGGGAGTGCCGAGGATTAGGGATGGCAAGCATGACCCCGTGACTGGTTCCCATAGCTCAGAGGACTCACCCTTCTCACAGAAGCTGCCATCCAATTCCTATTTAGGTTCAGGGTAAGGGTGATCCAGCCCCTTCTCAGGGGGCTGGCTCATTGCCTCACCCAGAGCCAGATAGACCCCATTGTTTGGGATTCAAGGCCCCTCACAAAGGACCCTAACCCCACATGAACTAGCCCTCCAGTCTGGTGCAGAGACCTCATCCAGCACCTCATGCTGGCCAGATAGTCATTTCCCTGAGCTGAGAATGCAGTCTGAGATGTGACTCCTGTCTTACCCCTTCTTTGGCTTCCGGTGCCCTCACACGCCTCTACAAACCTTAGCATGGCCCAGGCCACCTCTGCCTGGTGCTACTGCTGCTCTGTCAGACATGCCTTTGCCCAGGCAGTTTTCTCTGCCTAGAACTAGAACATGCCTCCGCCAACCCTGCTTTACCCGCTTGGTCCGTGTAGGCTCTGCCAAAGCTTTTCCTGGGCTCAAGCTCAACTCCAAAGCCAGTGGCTTCAACGCTTTCTACCACATGCAGGCACACGTGACCACGGCGAGAGTGTATACATATGTGTGTGTGTGTAGTATGTGCTGAAACAGGAACTGCACTCTTCGTTAGGAGAAGCAGGGGGAGGAGAGAGAGAGATTGGAGGAGGACTCCGTTGCCACTCTTCTCAACCTCAGTCTTTGCATCTATGAAATAGGTGCAATTACCCAGGTCAAGGAGAGAACTAGAGCGGGCACCACCTGGGACGGCTGTGGTGCTGCAGGTGCTGTCCATCCCTGGGGGGCTTCCTGGAGGAAGGGGCACCTGGGGCTAACAGAAGACCCCGTGTGTAGCTGCCTTGGCTGGAGGTGCAGTGGATGGGAGTCTGCTGGCGGTCAAACCGGAACTAGAGAGGGAGAAGGGGAGTTTGGGTGAGGAACCACTAAGGAATGAGTGTCCCCTCAGGAATGCTGCTGCAAACCTTCAAGGATGGTTCTGGGACCCTTCCAGGCAGGGGTCTAACCACCTCAAACCACCTCCCAGGGGCAGGGAGTGACAGCTGGTGCCCCAAGGAGAGAGGAAAGGCCAGCTTTCTTCTCCCACAGCCTCGCCCTCTTGCCCAAGGGCGGGGGTGGGGGGGTGGGGGTGGATGCAGAAAGCGCTCTCTGAGGACGCCCTCAGTCTAAGAAGGGCAAGAATAAGGGCACCCACCCCACCCCCGCCCCCCACTTAAAAATAGTGGCTCTGCCCTTGCTGGGTTCTGGGTGCCGTTCTGCGCGCTTCACCAGGTTAACTTTGGATTCTCATGGAGGCGGGATCCGCTGTTCTCCTCGTCACGTTCAGGATGAGGAAACCTAGGCGCAGAGAGAAAGTGACAGGAACAGAGGCCCGGCCAAGTCAAGACCCCAGAGCTCTCCTCACGCAGGTTTCCAGCACCATCTGGGTTCACCCCCACCCTCGGCTAGGGAAGGCAGGGAGGGTGGGGCCTACTGGTCCCATGTCTTAAGGAGACACCAACAGTCAAGGTGAGCGTGGTCGTTTGGATCTCAGGCCCTCTCCAGTGAGCCAGGCGGCAGGGCGCGTGGTGGCGTTGGGTGGCTGGTGGTAGTAGGACAGAGGTGGGCGGGTGGGGGGGTTCTGTAGCTATTCAGCAAAAAGCAGGAAGGGGGCTGAGGTCGGGCTGTACCACGTAGCTCCAGCCTTTGGTGGGCAGGGGAGGCCCAGTGTGCGCCCTGAGGATCGAAGGTGTGCGCGCGCTCTCGGCGTGCCCGGGCTCTTTGTGTGTCCCCAGTGCGCGCGTGCGTGCGCGTGTGCATGTGTGTGTGTGTGTGTGCGCGTGTGTGTCCGCGCGCGCGCCTCTGTGCTTGAGGCGGGGCCGGGCAACCAGGCCCCGCCCCCGCCCGGCCCCGGCCCCGCCCCTGGCCCGGCCGAGCTGGTATTTTTCCACCCAGCAGGATGGGTGATGCTGAGAGCTGCCTGCTCAGACAACAGACACGCGAGGTCAGGAAGAAGCCGCTTATAAATTACCGCTTCCTCCGCGCCGCCGCCAGCGCTGAGCCCCGGCCGCTAGCTACAGCCCCGCGCCGCCGCCAGCGCCGAGCCACGCGGACACGGAACGCCGAGGCGGGCAGGCGCGGAGAAGCCGCGGGGAGACCGCGGGCCAGAGATCGGGCGGGCAGGCGGTCGCCGGCCAGCGGAAGGCAGCGCGGGGAGCTCCGGGGCCACCCCAGGTACGGAACGCGGGGCGCGGCCGCCCCAGGTACGGGGATCGCGGGGCGCCACGCGGGCGGGCCGCTGGGGCCCCAGCGCAGCCCCGCTCTCTGGAGCCCCCTCCCCAGCCCGGCCCCTCGCGCCGCTGCCGGGGGTGCTCTCCAGCCTGGCCTCGTCCCTCTGCCCTCCCGGATTGCCCTATATGAGCCCCTTTCATCACCGAAGGAAGGAGGAAGAAGCCCCTTGATCGACCCCGCTGGCGGGACTCTTATTGTTTCGCTGGCGAAAGGGCTGGATCTTCTCGTGTAGGTGGCAGAGGTGTGTGTGTGTGTGTATGTGTGTGTGTGTGTGTGCGCGCGCGCGCGCCCCCATCCCCATCTTTTCGTCCGTCCCTGTGACCCTGTGCACGTTTGTGTGTGAGTGGCTGTTTTCTTTCTCCGTGTCCTCAAGAGTGTGCACTGGCTGATGTGTGTTTGTGCGACGGTGTGCCCCCACCCCCATGCGTTTCTGTGTGGCTGTGTCTCGTGTCTTGGGCTCTGTGCGCTTATGTGTGCACACGAGTGTGTCTGGGTGTTGGGCAGTGTGGCTGTTTCCGTCGGAGTCCTTGCCTGTGTATGCGCACGTGCATGTCGCCTACTGGGTGGCTCCAATGCGGCTGTGTCTCCGGGTCCCTGGCTGTGCCCGAGGGGAGTGCCCCCGTTGCTCAGAGGGCCCAAGGACCAGAGCGGGTCCACCTGGGCAGTCACTGATTGCAAACAGGTGAAGGGGTGGCATATCTCTGAGGAGATTGCATAGCATGTATGGGGTGGTGCTAGTATTCATTCTTTCCAAGCCTTGGTGGGAGGCCGGAGGGTGGGGTAGGTGGGCATCGGGCAGGGACAGCCTGACAGATAACATTCTCCTCCCAACATCCACCTCCCTTGTGTGGATACCCATTGGGGTTCACATCCTCCTCTGAGCAGAGATGCCAGGGCCAGTGAATCCCCAGAACCCCTTGTCTAGCAGAATCCAGCAGCCTGAAGGCTAGAATTAAGCCTGGACTGGTGGGGGACCCTGTGGGCAGCCTTCATGGGCATGAGGAGGGAGGTGTGTGCTGGGCAGGGCCCTAGCCTGGCTATTTTCGTTACCGCTGGCCTTTGCCAGTGTTGGCCTCTCCCCAGGACCAGCCCCAAAGGCATGGGAGGCGGTCTGAGACCCCATTTTCCTGGCCTGGGGGGAATAAATCTGCGCAGCGACTGCCCAGATGCTGGAGTGGAGGGTCTCCCGCGGAGGTTTCATGGCACGTGGCTTCATTTGGATTTGGGTAATTTGGCCCCCGCATTGGCACTGCTGGCGACGTTCAAATAAATGTCACAGAGGAGATCTTCTCCAAAATTCTTTTTAATTTTTTTGTTGGCTGGAAGGGAGGGGAGCTCACCCAGAGTCTCCCAGCCAGAAGGAGTTTATTTTTATGAGAGAGCACGCCGGTGAGCGCCTAGCAACCGCCCGCCTCTCTCTCAACCACAGTCATCCAAGGCGCGTGGGGTGGGCGTGAGGGGCTGGGCGGAAGGGAGAAATGTTATCGGGATGGTGTTGTGGGAC